TGTCATCATCATCCAACTCAAATGATCTGCATGGACCATCAGAATCATTTTCCTCTACCTGATAATGAGGACGTTGTGACGTTCTTGCTTGATTTCTCAAGTTCGCCCCGTCTCTCCTCTCTCGCCTATTTCTAGGCGGAGATGGGATCCTCTGAGGTTCATATTCTTGATGTTGTTCTTGCCCTCTTTGAACATGAGGTGGTTGATGAGACCTATTTCTAGGCCTTGAGGGTCCAATCGGATCAAAAACACTGTTGGACATTTAAGGTTCATGCTCTTGAGTATATTCTGGTGGAAAGTTTCTTTCTTGTGGCATGTTATCGTCGAGTCGGTTTGTAACCTAATTGGTGGAGGTATCTACTTCCACATCTCTCCCCGCTTGGTTTTCATTCATGCCATGCATTTGCGGGTATGCTGCTATGTCATTCTCCTCATCTTCTAGGGTAAACATTTCATGTTGAGGCACCTAGGAGCCTGTTGGTGCATTTGAATAAGTAATTGCTGCATAGCAGTATTTTGCTGCCATTGTCCCTACTCCTTGGCTAATCGTAGTGCGGTACCGCCTCGCCTGTGTTGGTGATGGGGCCCACGCATGTTCATATTTGTACGAAGGACCTCTTCTTCAGAGGCCTCCTGTTGTCTATTTCCACCATGAGTTCCTTGGAGGTTGGAACTCATTCTTGTGGGCCTCTTCCTTGCTTGTTGGCAATATGTAATCTTTAAAGTAAGCTATGATAGGTTGCATCCATTGTGGAGTTCTTTCAACCAACATCACCTTTTCTACTTTGGCTGTGGAAGGCATGGGGAAGTATTCAACTGGTACACTTTTAAGCAATTCTGAGTCTTTCCTAATGACCAATTTTGATAGGACATCCGCATGCATGTTCTCCATTTTTAAGATTTAGGACAGCTCAAACTTTTTAATGCACGGGATTAGGTCCATAACATTCTTCAGAAGCGCTGCCATGCCCTTATCTTTGGTTGCAAAGCTGTCGCTGACCTGGCTTACAACTAGTTGGGAATCACTGCCAACTGCTAAGTTCTTGACCTGCATTACTTTAGCCAATCTGAGGCCTTCTAGAAATTGTTGGAGGTATTAAAGCTAAATCTTACTGCATAATTAAGCTTGTGACCCTCCGGGTTCTCCAGCAGTCACCAACCCCTGATCTTGTTTTCCCAGAAGATCCTCAACAAAAAATTTCCAGGTTGGAGGGTCTGCTGGTTCCATTATTACATTGATGCACTGTGGCAATTCCTTCCTTAGTGGGAAATTTTATGCATAAATAATGTATAAATCTTACATCCTCGAGTTCTTTTAAAGCGAGTTACCCCAATACTCCGTGGTGGCAGATCGATGGTCTACAATGAGGAACTCCATGAAATGATGAGCCTTAAATGAGGGCTCTCCCATTTTTACTGCCAATGTGATCTTCCTTCTGAGGATAATGCTGTCACTAGTAAAACCATATAAGTGGGCAGTCATGGGAGCGAGCTTGTGGTCTACCATCATTTTGTCAAAGGTGGCACCGAACAGAATATTAATTGAGCTCCCGTTATCCCCCAACATGCGCTTCAGTCCATTTCTGGCTATGATGGCCTGTACCACTAGTGTGTCGCAGTGGGGATAATGGACCCCACAATGTCTTCCAGAGAGAAAGTTATTGGTAGTGTATTCCCGGATTTACGATCAGTGCTATTGATCAGGTAGCTCGTCTAGGAGGGTCCTTTGCTTTTCTCGTGTAGTTCCTATGGGAGTTCTTGGAATCCCCCTTATGTGTGGACCACTTATGATGGTGTCAATTCTCTGATGGGGGCATTATTAGCATTGGCTGGAGGCTTTCTCTTGGGCCTTTGCCCTCTTGTTCTTATTCTATCTTCTTCGTGCTCCTACTGAGACGTTTAATTCCTATGGTGTCACCTCGCCTCGCTTCATTATGCCTACGCTCTCTCTCATCTAGTCTGGGATGTACTTCTTTGTGCTTGTTGGGCGCTTTTACCCTCAATGCGAGGGCCAGTTGGTCCTTCGTGATATGGCCTGGATAGGCAATTCTCAATGCTGTGGCTATTGGTTCGATGGTATGTGCAGTATTGCCTATCTTGAGGTTCCCTGTTTCTTCCTCTGCCTTTTTCCCTGGATGGATTTAGCAGCCTTTGAGCTTCAGGTCCAACCTCTTTATATGCCAAAGAGGATACTGCATTTAGAGTGGCTGTGGCCAACGCTGGCCTGAGGTGGGGGCTGTTATATGTCTCGCATGGGTCCACTGTTGGTCTACCAAGTGGGATGCATGGACTCTTCGCTATTTTTGAGGTAGTAGAGTCCTAGTGAGGTTCTATTACGGTGATCAATCAGCTCCTCATTAACAATTTCGCTTCTCATCATTTCCACCAAGTCATCATAAGAAGCGGGATTTTTGTTTCGCACATCTTTCCAGAAAAAGTGTTTATGTTGAGGCTTCCTCTTGGAGCAGAAAGAGCCTCTCTATCCATAACTTGTTCGCAGTAGGCCATCTCATCTGTGAAGCGAGCCAAGTAGCTTTTCAAGGTTTCATGAGCCTGCTGCCTCATGTCTTGCAGCCTTTGGATGGGGCTTCTCTATCTTTACTAGATAGATACTGGTTTAAAAAAGCCTTTTTAAGGTCTAGCCAACTCCTGATGCTACCGGTTGGAATGCAACTGTACCAAATTTATGTAGTCCCCGTTAGTGTGAAATGAAAAGCTCTGCATTTTAGCGCTGGCGAGGCTCCTCATAGAGATATGTGGGTCTTACAGTTGTTGAGGTGCTTTGCTGGATTACAATTCCCTTCGTACTTGGGTATCTTTGGGGGCACAAAGTGACTTGGGATCAGAGCGCTTTTCAATTCTGGGAGAAGGGCAAGCTTTCATCATCATCATCCAACTCAAATGATCTACATGGACCATCAGAATCATTTTCCTCTACCTGATAATGAGGAGGTTGTGACGTTCCTGCTTGATTTCTCAAGTTTGCCCCGTCTCTCCTCTCTCGCCTATTTCTAGGCGGAGATGGGATCCCCTGAGGTTCATATTCTTGATGTTGTTCTTGCCCTCTTTGAACATGGGGTGGTTGATGAGACCTATTTCTAGGCCTTGAGGGTCCAATCGGATCAAAAACACTGTTGGACATTTGAGGTTCACGGTCTTGAGTATATTCTGGTGGAAAGTTTCTTTCTTGTGGCATGTTATCGTCGAGTCGGCTTGTAACGTAATTGGTGGAGGTATCTACTTCCACATCTCTCTCCGCTGGGTTTTCATTCATGCCATGCATTTGCGGGTATGCTGCTATGTCATTCTCCTCATCTTCTAGGGTAAACATTTCATGTTGAGGCACCTAGGAGCCCGTTGGTGCATTTGAATGAGTAATTGCTGCATAGCAGTATTTTGCTGCCATTGTCCCTACTTCCTTGGCTAATCGTAATGCGGTACCACCTCGCCTGTGTTGGTGATGGGGGGATGCATGTTCATATTTGTGCGGATGACATCTTCTTCAGAGGCCTCTTGCTGCCCATTTCCACCATGCGATCCTTGATGGTAGGAACTCATAGCGAACGTTCGACTTTGAGTTAAAAGTCGGCGTCTTTGATGTTTTTTTTTCTTTGTGGCGATCCTTTCTTCAAGGTTCTGCTTCAGATTGCTTTTACCACAAGAATGTTCGTAGTTATGCTATCAAAGTTCCTACAAACAGTGTCAATTTGTTGATCACAAAAAATGCACATATAATGTGGCCAATAGATCCCAATGCCTCTCATGTCCACACAAGCTGAATTCTTGCACACTTGGACAAACCAATAGTCCCACGTGGCCTTCTCCGGGGGGAATGGAGTCAGGCACGCGCAATCCGACGATAAAGTCAGTTATGGAAATAATTTAAGGTGTGAGAGAGTTTTGAACATGAGCCTCCAATCAATAAAAAGGGGGTCAGCTTGAGAATAGATAATGGAAAAATGTATGTAGCAAGATTATAGCTGTAAGAATCTAGACTGGCATTACCCCTAAAATGACGTTAAGTGCGAGCTTTTATACTCGAGTAAGATAAACCAGGCTTGTCGGATGATAGGGCATGTGGTCTCATCAAACTGATTGACCTTTTTTGTCGTATACATCAATCAATCAAGGCATTAAATGTTAGGACCACTTTCTTATCCATAAGTCCTAGCTTGACAGTTTGGATTTGACCATGTAGGTGCGCAGAGGCGGCGATGGCAATGAATTGTCTTGTCAACCCTTCACCATAAGATTTGTCAAGGATCTTGTAATCGCCTCGTCAGGACCGATTTCTACATTGGGGATCTGCCTAAAATGGGGTCGGTCCAGTCTCATTCTATGGGGAGAAAGGGTTGCCTTTATATAACTGGGTCGTCCGTGTCGTTGCGTAAGGCGTGGGCCCCCAGACTCTCCGCCATGTTGTTTAATTAGTGTCACGTGCGGCCTTTAGTTTATCTTATGAGTAACAGTTTGCAATACTCCACTTAAAACAGCACTACAAAGAACATCCTGAAATTGTGTGTATCATTGTTCTTTCCAACAGGAAAATATCGGAGAAAAGAACATGATTCGACAATATTCTTATGTCCACTGTGAACCAATTGTTGAAGATTATAAAGATGAGTTTCATTTCTCTTCATATCACATGTTTCAAGTTCATTTGAGTAAATATCAGAATTGCAAGGAAAGAAACAAAATTGTGAAAACCATCCCAAGTACCAGGCTTCAGACTAATTTCATTGCAGAATGAAAAGATTGCTACTGCTTCACCACCAGCAGTACCTATATAACTAGTCGTTTCTCCATCTAGAAGTCGAGATCTATAAAGGACATCGTCTGAGATAAAATTGAAAAACCAAAAAGTGCAATTGAAAGAAGAAAAAGTAAAGATAGCTTCAACATAACTTTGAACACACTCAACTGGATTGATTTCTGTCCACTTAATCATATTGCACAGAAGGATAGTATACAGCAGGAGAAGGATCACAACCGGCCCTACTTTAAGTCTCAGTGTTGCTTGTACTAGCTTCGCCATTAGACATCTTCCTTTTTCGACAAACACTGGATGTTGGCCTGTAAAAGAGAAGGTGCAAGTAAATATAAAAGAACAAATGGACAGAAAATAATTGAGAAATTTCATATAATCTGAACCAGAACCAGTGAAGTAATATGCAAGATGGAAGAGGTGCAAAATACCACAAGGTCAAAGTGGTGTCATATATTTCATCATCGAGCCCGCTATTTTCTGTTTCACGACTACCAGAACCACCTTTGCACCCAGAATCATTTTTTTCTATGACAAGTGGTGCCAATTGCCCAGTGGATGTAAAGAAACCTTTCAATTCTTCTACCTGAATCACATAATATTAATAAAAGTTTTTTAGGCAAAATTCAGAACTAAAAGCCTGCCGTGGGTAATTATTTGTCAAATAAACAAAAACTTGGATTGCCTGTTTGAGTAAAGCTTCGTTTTTCAGAGTGGCTTGTTTTTCCTGAAAAAAAAGTTGATTAGAAACTTTTCACCGTGTTAAATTATGTCAAAATATTCTCGAACCCAATTCAATTATCAGGTTCATCAATTCCTCTCCATACGATACAAGATCCAATTCGTCTATTTCATTGCCAGATATGATTTGCTTTTTCTAGTTCCACCTCTATAGAATGGTCAAACTGGATAATAGTCATATGGACTTTGCATACCAGCATTTTCGATTGTGCTAGTTGCTGTAGCAATAGTTTCTCCTGAAAATGAAGAACATTCGTTATGACCCCCAAAGTCTTAAGACTAATGTATTCCAATTTTCCAACGTAAAAACTAATTAACTAGTTTATAAAAGTGAAACTAGGAAGAAAATGCTTAACCTTCCTCTCCTTTATACTTAACAACCCTTCATTGAGTTGTTGTTCGCGTGCACCCAGTAATTGTACACTCATCCCGGTGAGGTCTTTACCCAAAAAGTGCCTAAAAAACCACAGCCAAAAATTAACTTCAGATCTGCAATTTATAATTGACATTCTGATTACTAAAGGAAATCATACATATGTTTTGATGTAAGTTTTGCCATTTCGAGTTTGAGCAAGTCCACCTCCTTGGGTTCCTGTTCCAGGTTAAATAAGAGGGAACACAAAAAAAGAAGTGGTTATTAGCAAGATTAATCGACAGGAAATCATCTTTATATAAAAGTGAACAAGAAGTAGCAACATATAAACAGCCTAAAACACCCTACGGTCCTCTTACAGCTACATAATCAAGGACTTGGGTAGTCAAAATATAGTCAAATTTTCTTATTCATATTCAGCTGAGAGCACAACATGTGATGTATAGATAAATATNAGGGAGCAAGCCTACTGCAAAGCAAGAACTAGAAAAAATGAATTTAGAATACCTCTGCCTTGACCGCTGGTGTGAGAACCTCGGGCGGACCCTGGCACTCGTTGTATCTTGAAAGTGTTCTCTTCATGCTGCAATAACAGAGAAATTTTCACACTGTTGACCACACATGTTCAATGTAAAACTGACAGTTGAAACAAATATCCATAATTGACTTTGGCAATGCATCAAGTTAATAAAGCATATTGACGAGAAGGTGAAATCACATTATTTGTTAAAGCTTACACCAGTTAAAGGGATCGTATTCTCAATGGACCAACTTTTCTTCTATGTATGGATTAACTCCTTTCGTCACATTGACCAGCTCATTAAATGACAATGACTAACTCATTTTGTCGCATCCACCGACAACGTTGTCATTATTGTCCACATAATCTCTTCACTTCAAAATTTCAACCATTTTTTAATTTGAGTTATTACATTATGGCATCTTTCTAAAAGCAGCACAGAAAATTGCAGAAAAGGACTAGAGTTATACTAAACTGATACACGCTCTCACTCAACAATCGCATCTATAATTTTACTCAGTTCTGGCGAGGAATGAAACGAATGTAAAATTTCCAAAAACTTAATCTACAACTCTGGAAAACTCAATAACATCCTCTCTAATTTATTACAAAATTAAATAAACAAAGTCAAATCACACATAAATCCAACGAAACCATAATTTAAATGACTTCATACTCAGAATTTCAAATCAAGTTGATTTAATAATGTTTATTAAATCCCTATTAAAGCATAAAATCAAATAATAACAAGAACACACATGCAACAAATCAATGAGACCCCAACTAAAAATTCAAACAGAATCCCAAAACCAAAAATTGAAAAGCATTAGAGTGCATACTCGGAACTGGAAAACTCGAAAAGCTTTCCCGTATTGGAAAAAATTATAACCGCAACCTCTGCCTCGCATAGAACCGCCAGTTCATGTGCCTTCTTCAACAGGCCTGTGCGTCTTTTTGAGAAAGTGATTTGCCTACTGTTTACATTCTCGATCTTCTTGATATCGATCTTGCCTCGACCCATTTTTTCTCTCCCAAAACCCAGAAAAATAGACAATTGAGATCCCCAAAACACCAAATCCACTTTAATCTCTCTGGCTCTGGTCTCTCCTGTTCTTTAAACTATAAATACGAATACTTCCATGTATACAGAAAGAGAAAAATAATGGGTTTTCTGAAGAGTTTTTTTTGTCCAAAAATAGAAAAGAGAGGGTTTATAAAATTGGGAGAATGAGAAAAACAGAGAGGCAGAGTGTATTTATAATGCCCCAAATGGCTTCGAAACGGTAAGCTTTTCCTTTTGCATGGCTATTTCGTTCAGTGTAAAACTCTTCTTTCTCTTACTGCAAAATTTTGCTTGTATTGGAGTAATCAAGTAGGTCCCACTTTCCACTTTTTAAGGTTTTTAGTGCTATAAAAATATTGAAAAATTAGTGTAGAAGTAATGTGACTTTGGGTTTTCATCCTTCAAAAGCAAGTTTTTGTTTCCTCAGTTCAAATCTGTGAAATTGAGTTTTTATGTGATAGAAATCTTTACAAATTGGACATGATTTTAAAGTTGGAAGTCAAAACTATCAAATAAATTAAGATCTATATAGACAGTTTACATCACATTGATTGGGACCTCAATTCACAAAATTAAATAGATCAAGGATTCAAAACCTCGTTTTGAAAGTCGGAGGACCCAAAATCACACGACCTAAAAGGTGAGGAAACTCAACTCCCAAAAATATACAACCTGTAAATATTTTGTATTTTCTTTAAAATATAAAGTAGGCATCAAAATATTATTGCAATTTATACCCTTTTTTGAGAATATTTGACTAATTTTGTGCTAAGTTTTGTTTCTTCTAATCAACTCATTTACTATATTTAAGTAGGGTAATATTTTCAGCATCTTGCATTTGATCTGGAAAATCTAAGTTTGAGTTTTCCACTGCATTCACTATTTTGGTATAAAGGGTTAAATTCTCCTCGTATAATAATATAAATATTTTTATTTTAGAATTGTGCATTAATTGTTTAAAACATTAATTAATTATTGCTATTTTTTTTTTTCGTACTTTATGTAACTGTCCACTTAATAATTAATTAATCCTTAGATTTTTATTTATTAATCTGTAATGAGTGAAATCTGGTTTACTTATTTAGTTTAGGTAATCTTGTTTAATGTATTCTTAGCAAATAAGTATTCTATTTGGGAAAGTGGAATAAATTTGTATTCCTCTTCTATTTATCCTTTCAAACTATAATTATATTTAATTGGATTCTCTAACTATTTCTAAGGCAAAAGGTTACGAAAAATTGGAGGTTACTCAATTTCAATTTCAAGTGAAATTTATTTTAATCACTCGACATTTGTTTTCAAAATCATCATTTAAGTTTCAATTCGTTTCATTTTAATCACAAATAACAATTTCTTCATAAAAATTAACACTATTTCTTATTTTTATATAAATAATATGAATGCTGATAGAGCACATTTGTCGTCCACAACATATGCGTAGATGAAAAATCAAATAGAAAATCTTTCAAGTTGAAAATACGCATTTACATGACGTCCAACCAACCATATTTTTCTTTTATACCTTTTATTTGTTCCTCCACATTTAAGTCACAAACATGTTTAAAAGTTGACAGTCCATTCAAATGGCAATTAAAACATTGACACCAATCAATCAAACATAAATTGAGAATTAAAAGAAGAATTCTTGAATTATAACTTCAATTATTGTTTTACATCATCATCATCCTTTGTACGAGAGTTTTAGCCTATCATGTTTGAAGTACAAAAATACGTCATAAATTGAGAATTCATCAACCTTAAATATGTAATTGCAAGAAGAAATTTGAAGATTAATTTTTGTTTCCTTGAATGTCTTCAATGAAGTGTCCAAGAAATCCTAAACCGCCCTTGCTTGAAATCCCAAAATTTTGAACAAATATCTTGGAATTGTATGTAGAATGTATTTTTGTCTCCCGAAGTTCTCCTTTCTTTTTCTAAATGAGCAGTTATCTTTGAAGCATACAGAATTAGGTTAAAAATTTGCGCACCAATCTCAATCTATGTTGAAATAGACTTAAATTAGAAAATATAATATTTTCCATCTAATAAAGCCATGCATGCCATCATGGACGGACCTAGGGGGGTCCGGGGGCAAGTGCCTTCCAACTTTTGAATTTATTATTATTATTTTTTATAAAATCGTGTTTGGTATCGATTGAAATCTAAATTTTAATCTAAATCAAAGTTAACAATTAATTTTAATAACATATTTCATGGAATCCATAACTGTTTTAACTTTTATTAAAATTTACTAAAATTTTGACTTTAATCTCCACCAAACAGGGGCACAATCACAATAAATTAGAATTAAGATAACAAGTNCGTCTACCTCGCATTTTTTTAAAAAAAATTAATTATTTCATTAACATTTATTATTTTTGCGATATAAATTTTTCAATATAATTTTCATCATTTTATTAGGAAATTTTCAAAAAATTTCGAAATTTTACATCCTAAAAAGTCATATCCCATGTAAATTTTCGGATGTAAAATTACATGAGATATGATTTTTTTTGGACGTAATTTTCAATTGTAAAATTTCTCTTCAACTTCTTTGCAAGTTCGATTATGCCCTCTAACTTTTAAGGTCTGCATTTTAAGGTCTGCGTTTGCCCTTGCATGCCATCGCATGGTAATATTGATTGCGATCACATCACATGGTAAGATTCTTGAACTTGCTTTGACATTTTCGCTACCCTTACGATCGCATGGGTAGAGCCTTGCGATCACAAAGTGCATCCTTTTTCTTCACATTCAAGTTAGTTCTTAAATTCCTATATTGATTCAGCTCAATTCCCTTCCTATTTGTACTGAGGGTTCTGATTCTTTCAAACCTTTACATTTAGTCCCCATCTTCTATAATTTGTTCCTTTTTAGTCCTTATCATTAGATTTCGTTCCATTTCGTCGTATACCTTCCAACATTGAGTTTCTCAAAAAGAAAAAAAAGAAAAAAAAATGAATATATAACCAAATTGAGTATCAATTCAATAAAAAAACTCTCAAATATCCACTTTTGATAAACCAAATAAATGTAAAAGTATAATTATCAAATATCACCAAACTTGAATATTTATTTTTGCTCAAAGAAGATAATCTACTTAACAAACAACCAACATTAAAACTGAATTTCTTGAGTAGCTTGCCGTATTGCCTCATGATCATGTGATTCTGTAAATGTATAGATCGTGATAAGTAATAAAGTGGATTATAAGTACTAAAATCGTCCCATAGAGACTAATTAGCTATTATAATTTTTTTTCACTCTTGTTAGACATACATTCTACTTTACATTGTACTATATGACATACAATTTTATCACTAATTTCTCCATCGCTTGAAACAATGAATGATCTTGATTTTGTCACCTATTCAAATGTCATCCATGTTGTCATTAAATAATGTAAAAAAGTATAGCTATTAACAATCAAATTTTCTGTTATAATTAAACAATACTATGTTAATCTAAATCTATATTCAGCCCATTTTTTTTTATTTTTCATTTTATAGATATTAACAATCAGAATAACTAATTTTAACTAATAGTCTCTCTCTCCAGCAAAACTAAGACTTAATATATGCATATTTAAATTCAGACAATGTATAAATGCATTAATATGTACAAACTCAATCAAGATTAGACTAGGGTATATCTCAATCCTTCATCAAAACTTATGTCACTTATTTCATGAGCTAGACAAATATATCTCCTCCCGTTCTAAATATTTTTCCTAAATCAAGCAATTAATACACAAGCAAATGATTGTCAATTAAATACACAATTAGGGATGTAAACAAGTTGAGTTGAGCCGCTCGCTAGCCTAAACTTGAAGCTCAAGCTCGGTTTAAGTAAAAATAGTTTCGACCCTATCGTTCGGCTTAGGCCTCATCGAGTCAGGTCGTACCGGCTCATGATTTTTTTTTTTTTTTTTTTAAGAAAACGCAGCGCGCAACAGTAGTAGCTATATGCTATTGCTAGCAATCATGTGGCTGACTGCAATAGGATGTAGTAGCTGCCTATGCAAGGCAACTATATGATTCAAATTTTTTTTTTTTAATTTTTAAATTTGCTCGTCACGGGCCACTTCTGGCTCGGGCTCGGTCTGATGCTCCAAAATAGGGCTCGATTCTACTGAGCCACGAGCAGGGCTGGCTTGGGCTTTTCCCGGATCAAGCCACGAACCGTCGAGCCGACGAGCCAAATTGACGCCCTTATACATAACAAGCAATTAATATATAATCAAAGTTGCATGAAAATCTTTTAAATTAAATAAATATTAAACATAAGCTATATCATTCAACGTAAAACTAATCATTTAGCCATTTATAATTTTGAATTGAACAAGAAAGGTGAAAAGCATCACAGGGTTCAATATAATAAAGGGAGAAAAGAATCCAATGGACCTGTTGATCTTCGGCACCTAAATTCCAACAATGGATCTTCAAACTCTTCTTGGATGGTTGCAAATCACCCTATCAATTGATGAAATCTAACATTCAAATCCCAATTTGTGGCCACATATCTTGAGAATTTATGAACGGATCTATGTAGTTTGCCTAAGGATGTGTCCTTCAAGCCTCTCTTTTTTTTTTTTTGATTTCAACAAGGAACCATATATACAAACCACAGCAAATGATGGATACATGGAGGAAAAGCCTCCAATACTATGCTCTCCTAAGAGAGATTCAGTGCATCCTATGTAAGATACCAAAACAAACAACAAACACAACACAAAAAGACCAAAAAAAGACAAGCAGACTACAAACAGAACGAAACACCAAAACCAACCACCCACGCACAGGCCACAACCTCAACCGGCAGTAGGCAAGACAGTAAAGCAATGGAAGCCAAATCTGGGAGGAACCAAGACACTATCGAAGCTCTAACCCCAAACATGTCTCCCACAGCCAAAACACCTGAAACCTGGAGCCAGAACCTTGGCCAGCGACAATGCCCAA